CCCCGCGCCGCACAGCAGGGCCTCCCTGCAGCCCGTGCGCGCCAGGGGTCCCGGGCGCGAGACGCCCGACGTCGGGGGGCCCCCACGCCCGTGGGCCACGGACAGCCGAGCAGCTCAGACAGCGGCCTAGGGCCAGGAGCCCCGGACGCTGCTTGGGGACAAAAGGCACCGGTCTGCAAGGCCGGAGCGGGAGGCCAGGGGTGCGTGGAAGGCTGTGGGCAGCACGGAGCGGCCCGTGTGGAGCGGTGGCGCTGTGGGAGCGGAGCAAGCTCAGCAGCGGGGGAGACCGAGACAAAGGCAGGGCGGCAGAGCTCTGCGGGCGGCTCCTGCCCGCCAGGCAGAGGGACCGAGGCAGTACCCACCCCGCCGCAGGGTCAGGAGCCCGCGAGGGGACGCGCTGCGCAGTCCTGCCGGCACGCCTCGGCAGCCTGAGCCCCCAGAGCCCGGCTCCCAGCCCCCAGCTGGAGGCCCCGTTGAGTGGGTGGGGGCCCAGGAAGGCCCTGACTCCGGGAACCTGGCTTTCAGGGTGGCTCCGGGGCTCCGCTGCTGCCACCACGGATTCCTGTGCTTTCTCACCGTTGGGAACCCGTGGTGGGCTTGGGGCGAGGGGTCCCGCGCTCTGACCCTCCCCCTCGGAAAAGCCCTCGCCCGCCCCCCTCCCAGCAGTGGGGAACCCCCTGGCAGGGCCCTCTCTGCGGCCCTGAGGTCAGGTGGCCTGGCCTCGCCTGCGTGAGTCATCCTCCCGTGATCACCACCACCATCTAACAGGGGATTCCCGCAACAGCCACCATCTCAGTGACAGCTGGCAGCGAGGGGAGGGGCTGCAGGGCCCTGGGAGTGCCTGGGGTACCCCAAGCAAAGTGAACTCTCAGAGGACAAGGCTGCCCTAACCAGTCCACCCGTCCTCCCGGACATTTGAGCCCCTGAAGCTCCCGTGTGCTCAGCGCGCCCTCCAGGGCATGTCATGGGCACCTGAGAAAGGAGAGGGCACAGCCTGGCACCGGAGCCCGAGACAGGCTCATATGGGGCAAAAGCGAGATTGAATTCTGCTTAGGTCCAGGCAGGCTGAGATCAGCGTGGTATCAGCAGCAGGTCTGGAGGGTGATTTGGGGACAGGTTTATAATCTCAAGGGATCCTGATGGAATCCGTAGAGTCACAGCTGCAAGGACAGTCAGCACAGGTGTGTGGACACTGCTGGACGTTCTGGCACCAGGGAGATTGTATGTCCTGGTCTGAATCTTCATGGCCTTCCGTGTGTGCTAGGATGGTCTGAGGTCGGGCCTGACTAGAGACTGGGTGAACGGCCCCCTTTCAGCAAATGACCCCTCCTCTGGCCTTTTTCTTTTCTTTTTTTTCTTTCTAGGATAGTGGGGAATAAACTCAGGGCCTTCACACTGAGCCACATCTTTTTGTTTGTTTGTTTGTTTTTTGTTTTTTTCCGGTACCAGGAATCGAACTCACAAAGTTGCGCTTGCCAGGCAGGCGCTGTGCCGCTGAGCTAAATCCGAAGCCCCAACACTGAGCCACATCTTGAGGATTTTTTTTTTCCCCCACTGTGTGGTCCAGGCTGGCCTCAAACTCACAGTGATCAGTGGTGTAGTTAAGGGTTTGTGCTGCTGAGGGGGGAGCTTCGATCTGCTACCCTCCAACATACCTGAATATGTTAACCTATTTAAATAGAAAATTAAAACGATGAATATAGAGAAAAATGTGCCACAGCAGACACACGGCTCACTCCACCCCCCCACCCCACTGGCCATAATCCTCCTGCCTCAGCCTCTCAGGTGGGATTACAGCAGTCACCACCACACCAAGATGTTTTGGTTCTTTTTGAGACAGGGTCTCACTAAGTCTCAAAGTTGCCCCTGCCAAGCTGGAACTTTTAATCCTTCTGCCTCCTGCACCCAGAGTTGGGGGATCACAGGTGTGCGTGACCTTGCCCGTGGCTTTTCTTTCATCTTCATGAAATGGGCCAAGAAGCCGGGCGCGGTGGGCACGCCTGTCATGCCAGCACTCAGGAGGCTGAGGAAGGAGAATCACTCTGTGAGTTCGAGGCTAGGTTGGACTACATAGTAAGACCCTACCTCAAAAAGACCAAAAAAAAAAGAAAAGAAAGAAAGAAATGGGTCAAGAGTGGGAGGACTTGTAGTACAGATAGACCATTGGGGGCTGTGCAAATTACTTCCCTCAGCCCAGCTGGGCCTGGGCAGCACCCTGGGGTCATCCCTCCCTAATCTCTGTCCCACCCAGTTGAGTTCAGAAGCCACCCTGGGATTACAGGCAGCTAAATTATTTAGAAACACTGTAGGCAGTCAGATGGGCGGACCCTCAGGAAAGGTCGGTGCAGATGACAACTATGGCTGGGAGTTGAAGGTCAGGCCTCCGGATAGAGAAATGACTGCACCCACACCCTTCCCCTCCCCCTCGGGAGGCTGAGGATGCACAGCAGTGACTGATATTTGATACTCTAAACAGACATCCTTCACCTTGGGTGGGGACCAACCTCTCCCCGCCCCTCCCTCTCTTCCAGGAAAGGCCCTGTTGCCCTGTGGGGTTGCTGCAGGACTTGCTTTCCACTTGATCCCCACGTCATGGGTATTATCTAAGCAGTTAACACTCTTCATCTTATTGGCTGAGCACAGTGTTGCCCCGTGTCGCACCCAGCGTCCGCTGGCTTCCGGCACACCTCTCCAGGTGCCCGCTCTGTGTGTCAGCAGTGGCACTGTTCTCAGAGAAAACCAGCCGGCGCGGTACCGGAAAACAGGATGTCATAAAAGAGATAGGATGGGGTCCCCAGCCAGGGACATCTGAAGACGCCCAGACATTCACACCGGACACCCCAGGGACGGTGCCTGCGGAGGCACCAGTCAGAGAACGCTGACCACTGATGTTTGCTAGACCTTCTCACCTAATGTCCCTGGCCTTCTTTCAAGCCCTATAAAGAAGCCCGCCTCGCTTTGTTCCCTGCAGGGGCCTTTTCCCCTGTCTGCACCCAGGCAGCAAACCCTATGCCTCGCCCTGCACAAAGCCTACTGGTGCTCTCTGCCTGGAGTGGCTCTTTACAGCCACCTGGTGATTTCCCACTGGATCGGTGTCACCTAAGCAACTGTACTTGTGATCTCATTACGGTTCTGTCCCACCTTATACCGCCTCACCTCGGGGCTTTGCTCTGTAAAACTCCCTAGAGAAGCAGGGTCCCCAGGACCCCACTGGAACCCCCTTCTGTCCCTCTTAGACAGAAGGTCTCTCTCAATAACTCTTCCTGCTCTTAACCTCCGTGGTTCCTAGAATTCATTCTTCGATTTTAGAGGAGAACTTGGTGGCAGACATCTAGCAAGTTGGGAGTTTTATTTCCCTTACATTATTCAGATTACGTGGAGGTCCTGTGTCATACTCCCTATATCACTGGGACCGTTCTGTATAAACGCAGACCAAAACTCGCTCACTCTTTCTTCTCTCTTGTTCTTGAGCCCGAAAACCTGATTTGTCTGCATGGCTCACAGTGTCGCCCCAGCACCATTTCTGTTTGTGACTTTTTAATTTTTGTTGTGACTTTCAATAAAGGTAGTTTGAAGGGAGGCTGAGGCAGGAGGTTCACTGTGAGGTCAATGCCAGCCTGGTCTTCATAGTGAGTTCAAGGTCAGCCTGAATTACAAAGTGAGACCCTATCTCAAAAAAATAAATAGCCGGGGATGTAGCTCAGCGGCACAAGCGCCTGCCTGGCAAGCGCAAGGCCCTGAGTTCGACTCCCGTAGCTGCTTCTCCCTCGACCGCACCCTGTGCAGCTCTCTGCCCGCCGTCCCGAGACCGGGCGTCTGCGTGTCATGCTGGGCCGGGCCCACCGCACTCAGGGGCTCGTCGCCCCTCCCGCGGCGGACCTGGGGGTGCAGGGTGGCGGAGGAGCGCGGCGGCGGTGGGAGGCTTGGGGCCGGCGGCCGCGCCCCCGGTTCCTCCTGCCGGCTGCGGTGCGGTC